TGACCTTACCACAGAGATGACCTTCCCCTAACGCAGTGGTTCTCAACGTGTGTTCCCTGGAGACCACCATCAACCTTGTTACCTGGGTACACATTAGAGATGCAAATCCACAGAACACTCCACCCCCTCACCCACCGCCCCCAACCCGTGCATACCCTGGACCTACCTGGACAGAAACTCTGGGGGTAGGCCCAGCAACATGCTCCCTTCTAAAGTTTGGAGACCCTGTTCTAAGGTGTATCCTTGATCAGTCAGCTCAGTAGAGATTGACAAGTGGCCAAAACTTAGATTTCCCTTTCAGTTCCGACAGTCTAGGAGTCTACCTCCCATAGCTCTGTGCTAACAGCATAGACCAGGCAAGGGGAAGACCTGTCCAGCTGTGAATCTATCAGTGTTGAAAGGAAACTTGGCTGGAATGGTCCACTGGCTCCCCACCAGCCTCAGAGAGACCAGTGAAAGGGTTTTTGTTTTGGAAGAATGTTTCACTTCATAGGTAGGATGGGCCCCCTGCTGCATCAGCCCAGGAGAGGCCCAGTGCAGTTAACTCTCTCTCCCCCTGACAGCCCATGATGGACAGAAACAAGGCGGATGAACTTCCTAAGCTTCAGGTCGGCTTCATCGACTTTGTTTGCACCTTTGTCTACAAGGTAGGTCCTTCGCTTTCTCAGGCTGAACAAAATGTCTCTGATGAGCCTGGGATTCCCAAATTATATCAGGAATAAAAAGCCCTGGCAAGTGACCTATGAGTGCTACTTTACAAAGTGCATCTCACCTCCAGTGGCATTTGGTTGTCAGGACAGCCCTGAAAGAGCTTCTGTGACTTTTCACCCAGGCCAGAGCCTGGAAATTCATACATCCTAAGTGAAAGTTTCTCAGTCGTGTCAGACCCTTTGCAACCCCATGGACTATACAGTCCATGGAATTCTCCAGGCCAGAATACTCAAGTGGGTAGCCTTTCGCTTCTCCAGGGGATCTTACCAACCCAGGGATCTAGGTCTCCCACATTGCAGGCAGATTCTTTACCAGATGAGCCACAAGGGAAACCCAAGAATACTGGAGTGGGTAGTCTATCCCTTCTCCAGTGGATCTTCCTGACCCAGAAATCGAACTGGGGTCTCCTGCATTGCAGGTGGATTCTTTACCAATTGAGCTATCAGGGAAGCCCAGAGTTGCTCAGTAAATAATTGTGGGTCAAATGATATATCATGTTTTCAGGCAGAGAAATGGGGAGCATAGCAGGTACGTGTCCAGTTAACTTCCCCAGCTGGCGGGAATATGACAGGTCACAGTTACTCAATTGTCGAAAGATACTCTGAATTTTCTCTTTGAGTTCTGGCTCAATATTAAAGCCTCCCTCTTGAGAAACCCGTCATGCCCCATCCATATTATCTGTGCCACCATCCACCTCCCATTGGCTATTTTTATTTTGGCTATGTTGTAAGAGGAGACAGATGTCAGAGAGGAGAAATGACAGGGCCAGGACACAGCATCAGAGCAGGGAGCCTGACCCTGTATTTGAGGGCTCTTTCTGCTACGTGAGGGCTTTCCTGATAAACTCATTGGTAAAGAATCCACCTGCAATATAGGAGACCCCGGTTCGATTCCTGGGTCAGGAAGATCCACTGGAGAAGGGATAGGCTACCACTCCAGTGTTCTTGGGCTTCCCTTGTGGCTCAGCTGGCAAAGAATCCACCTGCAATGCTGGAGACCTGGGTCTGATCTCTGGGTTGGGAAGATCCCCTGGAGAGGGGAAAGGATACCCACTAAAGTATTCTGGCCTGGAGAATTCCATGGGCTGCATAGGCCATGGGGGTCACAAAGAGTCAGACAAGACTAAGCGACTTTCACTTTCACTTGAGCCGCAGCCCTTCTGCCTGCAGGGGGCGCACTAGTGCATCTCTGATATAACGCAGACTAACCAGGATCCTCCAAGCAAGAGGGCAGGGTAGCTGATGCTCTCTGTGATCATCAGTAATATACAAAACAATGGGGACTGGTCTAAGAGCTTTACGTGNTCCTCCAAGCAAGAGGGCAGGGTAGCTGATGCTCTCTGTGATCATCAGTAATATACAAAACAATGGGGACTGGTCTAAGAGCTTTACGTGCTTTATCACAGCAACTCCATGAGGTACCGTCCCAATTTCAAGGGGACCTGCCCAGGGTCACACGGCTGGTGGCACAATTGATCTAAGCACAGCTAGCTCTAGCTGAACTCTGCAGTGGACCCTGGATGTGCCATTCTGACCTTATGCAAATCTCTGCCCATCTGCATCTCCATTTCTTCCCCTAAAAATCTAGGAGTGAGGAGTCTCATTGTCCCACCTGGCAGGAGTTTTCTGAGGACCAAAGGAGACACAGTGCATTGTAACCTGTCATTTGCTGTGCTCAAAGGCATTATTTTTATTCTAGGGCTAAGAGCCCTTCAGAATCCTCTTTGCATCCCGATATCCTTCAGCAAATACTGCGTGTCTTTGTGCCCCAAACCCTGTACTGGGCCAAGGTCACCCCAGTGAACGAGCAGAGATGTGCCTCCTTCCCAGTGCACAGCTCTGGAGGCAGACTGGCAGAGGGAGTCGCTACAGTGAAATTCGATGTGGGAATGAACGGTTTGGGGAGCTGCTAATAGAGGACTCAACTTACCTTGGGGATCAGAAGGGGCTTCCCTGGGGAAGTGATGTCTGAGTAGAGCCCTCAAGGGAAAAGAGGGGGAAGTTAGTTCCAGCAAAGTGACGAGCTAGTGCGAGGCCCAGACAGAGATCTGGAATGTCCGGAGGGTTCCAGTTGGTGACGAGGAAGCCCACTGGGTCTGGGAGCCTTGTGAAGGAGTTTGTGCTCCATCCTGAAAACCAGGTGGTGGCACAGGAGGGTATTACGCAAGCGAGATATGGGACCTTGTGACTGAGGGCCCTGTACTGTCGTCTGAAACACCACTGGGTGACAGAAGCTGTCACCCACCTGGGGAAGCTCACTCCAGTGAGGACCTGACAGACTGCTCTGCCTGGAGCCCGATCCCAGGGCTCCGCACCTGTGCCAGAGGCTCTGTCTGTTGCAGGAATTCTCCCGTTTCCACGAGGAGATCACTCCCATGCTGGATGGGATTACCAACAACCGCAAGGAGTGGAAAGCGCTTGCTGATGAGTATGACACCAAGGTGAAGGGGCTGGAGGAGGAGAAGCAGAAACAGCAGGCAGCCAACCAAGGTTTGTGGAAGGGGGAGGATGGGGGGTCCCAACCCCACACACACTGGGTGCTGGTGACCTTACACACGTGGGCCCATTCAGGCCACTCCACAACCCAATTGCCCCCATTCTACATATGAGAGCACAGAGGCTCGCAGAGGTGAAGTGTCGTGGTCAAATCACACCATCAGCAGTGGCCCAGCTTGGTTCCCAAGATTGAGGCTCCCAGCAAAGGAGCCTCCCCTCTACTCCTCCCCGACTGCCCCTGACCAGAGTAGGATAAACTCCAGTAGTAAAGTGGTGGATGTAAGGCCTCCAAAAGCCCTTGAGTTTGCAACTCTTGGTCCAAACAAGGTCAGAGGGAAAGCCCACTGCAGCCTCCTCTCACCTGGTGTGTTCTCTTTCCTGTCTGATTGCAGCAGCCGCAGGAAGTCAACCTGGTGGAAAGCAACCTGGGGGCGGGCCTGCATCCAAGTCTTGCTGTGTCCAATAGCAGAGCGAGGATCCAGGGCCCAGGCCGGTCCCACCCTTCACGGACGAGAGGACCCGGGCCGGTGGGAAACCACACACCACCTGCTCAAGAAGTCAGAGTTGTGGGGTTTGAAAACTGAAAGAGAATTTAGTTTACATCTTTCCTAGTGGCTTTCAAGCCTCTTTTCCAGCTGTGAGAACTTTTTATTGAGTGACAACTGACATTTTAGCTTTCACAGACTCAAACATTAGTGTCAGACCCACCTGCTTACCTAGAATCTTTTGCGTTCTTATACTTTCATTTAATAGTACACAAATATGCAATCATTCACCAAAGTAGAGAATTACACAATGAACTGCCACCTACCCATCACGCAGATTCTAACATCAGGATTTTTGCCGCATTTGCTTCATCTGTCCTTTTAGAGTTTTCATTTTTTTCTTAGCTGAAATATTTAGAAGCAAATTCCAGGCATATCATTGACTTGTCTATTACGCAACTTTAAAGATGAATGGGTGCTTTCAAACATAAGCACATCATGATCTCATGCCACACATGAACCCCTAGTATCCAGTTGTGGCGGATGCTGCGATGAGCTGCCCAGACCCTGTCCTGAAGACCGTGGTCTCAGCAGTGATGAGCCCTGTCAACAGACAGCCCTCAGTCTCAGTCCCTTCGGGATTACCTCATCCACAGGGAGACAGTTTGCCTGAGGGTGGTGGCCTGCAGCCAATGACAGATCCATGCCAGGTGTTAAGCCCTGTCCATCTTGGCTTAATCCAGGACAACTTCGCAGCAATAACACACACATCCAAGATGAAAGGTCCTGGAAGATGCCACTCTTCACTGCTCTCACTGGGAGTAAGTAAGCAAAGGAAAATGTTTCAAGTTCACCTAAATATGGTACACAATTCAAGTCTCTTTTCCATATTCTCTGTCCAGAGATTGTTTCACAGTTGTCAACTGGCAAGTGTCTTTGCTTGAAACCATAATATCAAAATATCTCTTTTAGCACATATATGTAGTGTGTTTGTGTGGAAAAGTGGATATACTGAAACAAGGGAGTCCTTGTTCAGAAGGTGGTACAGCTTTATTAAAAGTCATACTGGCAAAAACCTGGGAATGGAGGGATGTTATGGGAAGCAAGTCTGAATGGTTCCTTGTGATCCATGAAAAGTGCTATGGAGAAAGGACAAGTAAACTTGGAAAATTTTAGAGAGGCACCCTGGGCTGAGGTCTTCTCTGAGAGATGACCCTGAAACTAGAAGCATTTTTCTAGTTAGTAACTGGAGCAACCCTCAACAAGCACATAGGACCCAATAAAGAAAGACACACCTGAGCAGAGCTGCGGGTGATATTTCCTTTTTAATCTCCATAGTGTATTTGTTAAGTTTATTTATAAGCAGATCACTTCACTATTTACAGTACATGAGCATAGAGATTCTACAGTTTTTGTGATGTAAACAATAACTCCACAGTGGGAGTTTGAGAAAAGAAGCCAGTTCTTAAGTATTTACAGACGTTAAAATAGAACTTTATACTCACAGGATAATAATACATAGAGCAATTTGGTTAAATTATCTATGAAACTATAGAATCTGACAATGTACAAATACAGGAAAACATTTTCTCATTTAGAAGGTAAGACAGATAAATCACATCAGAAATAAAATAGGGACAATGACAACCACAATAATTAAAAGCAAAGAAGTTTTCTTCCTTGCCTCTCACAGATAAAGTATTTATATAAATAAGGACACAACCCAACAAAATGGAAAAAATATATAAAAAATCCTCTACCAATTAAAAAAAATAGCAAAACTAAAAACTCGATTCTCAATCATTAGCAGTGTCCTTTAAAAAATTAAAATTTAGCTTTCTATTATAAATAACAAAGCAGATGTGTCCCTCTGTGTAGGTGAAATTCTTGCACCTTTCTCAAGAAATGCATCAATGTAATTCCACACACACACAAACATAGGCGTGCAGACACACACACACACACACACACACACACAGCCTTGCACTCACGCACCCCAGGCTGTAGTTACCTTGTTGAGCTTCCTAATAAATAATGCCCCCTATGGTAGTACCCCTGGGGATACCCAAACCTCACAAGGTGAGCCATTCGCTGGTTTGACCCTGTTACAGAGCCGGGGAAAGCCCTGGCTTCCTATTGCTCAGAATTCTCTAGGCTGCATGGTCACACCAAGAGAAAAGAATTTGAGTCCAAGATTTGGAAATGCTGGAAGGACCATAGGGACCACCTTGCCCTGTCAATTAAGGCTAGCTACAGACACCATCTCTTTAGAAACCTGGGGTGGGTGGGGGGAGGAATCTTGGGTTGGTTTCAACATTAGCAGCCACCTCTGGAAGAAGCAGATGCTCCAAGCCAATGCTAATGCTAATATCGCAGCACAAGGAAGTGAAGGGGGTGGGTGGGTGCGAATTTCCGGAGCAGACTGCCCCAAGTTGGACTTCTGGATGGTCATCTTCCACTGAAACCATTTGGAAATCCAAGCGGTCCACTTCCCTGGTCCACTGACCATCCTGACCACACACCCCTTGAGATTTCCAACCTCTTTCTGTTGGAATCAGAACATTCCTCAAGAAACAAAGTTGGGAGTAGTTTATGACTTTTTATTCCTAACACAAAAACATTTGACAAGATTTTTAAATACAAAATACAAAACAAGCAAATAAAAGCTGTTTGGCTATTCGGTAGACCATATCAAAGGCCACGGCCAGGCCCCCACAAAATCCTCACGCACAACCTCTCTGCTTGTCCTGAGGGTCCAGTGGGGGCCACCTAGCAGAGGTTCACTTAACAAGGTCAGCAGCTGGGCTGCCAGTATTGCAGTTACAGTAAACCCCTCCTGGGCACCTGGGCCAGGTCCACTCGTGTTTCCGCTGCCCTCAGGAGAACTAGTGTATTTTTCTGTCTGAGTGGTTGCTTCTGGGGCTTCTGACTGGTGTTACACTGGGCTCTAAACACATAGACAGTTCGCTCATGTCCTTGCATTTCATTCCCAACATTGGTGTTGGACTGCAAGGTGGTTGAAAGGCTTTATTTGCCTTCTATCTGGGTAGCTGGTGGATACAGTCTTTGGCCACTAGATGGCGACTAGACATTGATAAGGCAAAGTGCGGAGGTGGAAGCTGACCAATCCCTTCAAAAGTCACCCATGAGCGAGGCTGGCAAAGTGGAGGTCTGGAGGATCCTTTGACAAAACATACAGCACAGAGGGGGTCCTAGCTATAAAACACCTCTCGGAGGTGTTGTTGCACAGCCCAGGGACTGACCACCTACAAAACCCTATTCTCCGAGCCCCCAGTTTGGGCAGTTGGATTTCTGTGCTGCTTCTGCATGTGCAAGGCATTCAGATGAACTGGAGTTTTCTGAAAATCTGCCCCACAAAATCTCAGAGCCTCAGCTACCACTGCTATACCATTAAAGAAACAAAAAACAAAAGCTGCCCTAAACATATGCAGTGTGATCCATGCCTCCTGTTGCCCCGTATGTTTTACAATCATTTGAAACAAATGTGTGAAAAGTGCCTAAGTTAAGCTGTTTTGCAAAAACAAGTGTATTGCTAGTATTGTCTGAGAGCAAGAGAGAAACAGCCAAGTGGTCACAACATTCGGATTGAAAGCTGTTTGGTGGGGACGATGACAAAGCTAATGTGAGATCTGACATCACCATCCAGCCAAGCTGGGGTTTAACTTCTCACCATCCCCACCAGAAACTATGGCTTAGATCTGTCCTGGGGAGCTGGCCTCCTCATATAAGGTAACTCGGCCAGGACCATGTGGATTTGAATTCCCTGCTAGTTGGTTACCTTGCAGAGAACTCTCACCCTGAACATAAGCTGGGCACAGCCAGAGAATGGAATTGGTTTCATGAGTTAATGATGGTTTCCCGATGCTCCAGGATGGGAATCTTAGCCCATCAGAGGTGAAAGGGACTTTAGCGCTCAGCCCATCCAATATTCATTCCCATCTGTAAATGAGGAAACAGAGGCCCAAGATCACATAGAAAGTAAGAAACATTGGGTTTCTCACTTTAAGATGGCTTATAGGTAAGTGACTTACTCTGCAAACCCATTTCAATTGGCTGTGCTGTCTTCGTTTTTTTTTTTTTACAAAAATAGGTACCAGATCAAAAAGCATCGCTCCATTTTCAGGACTGGCCCTAGGATGGGTTCTCCCTTGGCTGATATCTATGAAGGCATCTCTGCCTTCCTCCCTCACCAGCCCCTTTGCTGGCCCCCTGTCCCAATGCCTAGGAGAGGACCTCACATAGCCCAGGGAGATCCATGTTTGCCAGTATAGAAACATGGAGCCAGGCTTAGTGTCATGGTTTTCTCAAAGTGCTTTTATTGGCTTAATGCAAAGTCAGCCTCTGCCTGCTTCCTGGGCGTTCTACAGCCGGCTCCAGGGGCCCTCCGCTCTATGTCTGTTTTGAGCCAAGGGCATCTCTATGCATGAAGGTTTCCCAGTTCCTGAGCTCTCCCTCCATTTACCCTGTACCCCTGGACTCAGCAGACAGTCCTGGAGCCCATCTATGTGTGCAAACGTCTCAGGGACTTGGGGCCCAGCTTAAACATATTGCACATAAGCATCAACTGGTTTCCTTCTGCCCCAATGGGAAGGATCCCTCTTCTTTGGCCATTGAAACCATTAGGTTCGCTTTATTTGCTACTATACATTCAACTTCTTTCCTTGGTCATGTCTGAGGACAATTGCTAAGTCACAAACGGTAAGAAAAGACTGCAGTTTCAACATGAGTGAGTCAGATCAACAAATCCTTTGGGGTTGATTCTGCTTCACAGCTGGGACATCCCATCGCTCAAGCTGGGGGCTCAGCTGTCATTTCAACTGAACCCCAGGCCTGGAATAGGGTTTCAAGCTGTCCATGCAGAAGGGCTGCACTGTCATGCCGTCCCTGTCCCCTCAGCGTGCATGTTGCACACGCCTAGAATTGCTCTCCGAACATCAACACACACAGGCTTTAGGCGAGAAAGATTTCTTACTGCATCTCTTCCCACATAAGGACCTGAGTACCGAGTCTTTGCAGTTCAGAGCATCCCCCCCTCCCCCACCTTCCTCCTCCCACCCTGGAGCTCCCAAAGCCTCGCCTCTCTCCTGAGCACATTCCACACACAGGGCTATGAGAGCCCACAGCAGCTGTAGACACCTGACTGGTGCTTTGTATTGATACCTCAAAGCAGTGTTCTGATTGGGGGGCAAGGTGTGATGGGGAGAAGAGGGTCAGGGCCTTAGCTGCACTCCATCCACTCATATTCTTTACCTCTTTGATGCATTTTCCTTCATTAACCAGAGCCCCCGAGAGTGAGGATTCTGATTCAGCCTTGTACCGACTGAGGAAGGAGATGGAAGAATTCCACTTAGCATTTAGATGGAACATATTTGGAAAACACCAGCACGGCACAGAGATGGACAGTACAACCTGCCTTGTGTGGGTGGCTACCAACACAGTCTACTGTAAGCTTGTATGGCAATCACATGTAAACATGACGGAGAGCAAATACTAGGACAGAGCTACAATGAGATGGTTGCCAATGGCAGCTGCTCCCTCTGGGTGACTCCTTAATTTGGTAGGAAAGAGACCAAGGTTGACTGGTTTTCCTGGAGAGACCTTGGAGTCTCCTTGGTAAATAATACACAGCACCGAATAAGTCTTCGGATGGAGGTTGTCTGCAGGGTTGGTCAATTTTAGAACTTGTATCCTTTTACGTATGGGATGGTGAGAAGAAACTGCTCAATGCCCTCGGCAGGCACCATCTCCCATCCGCAGGCCCCAGCCCCAACCTTAAGCATATCACCAGGATTAAACTCAAATCTCTGCTCAAAAGCCAGCATCTGAAAACCTTCAAGTGCCTTGTATTAATCTGAAGTGAAAGGGCAGCTTCAGCTGACCCCGTAGAGGGAAGAGACTTGTCCTTCACTAAAAATCTGCATTTCTTCACCCTAAAGTACCACCTGCCCATGGGAGAACCTCTGGTCTAGTGCAATCAAGGAAGAAGCAAACAGGAGAGGCTTAGAGATCTTCTAGTCCACCCCCTCCTGAGACTTAGGGAGACTTAGGAAGAGGAAGGGACTCTGACTTACTGAAGTCACAGAGTTAGTTCTTGGCAAAGCCAGTACTCAACGCAGCTTTCTCCACTTTGAATGTATAGTTCCTTTCTATTTTTTCCACAGGATGAAATTTCAGTTTACTCATTGGTGCAAATTAGGAGTTAGGGGAGGCATCAGGTGATTTAAATTCTATTCCATTCCATTCCATTCTATCCCATAACGATTTACTGTGTGCCTACTGTGTGCTAGGCAGTGAACAGCTATAAAGGGAATTTATAATGTTCAGACTCGTCTTTTTGGTCTATCCTCATAAACCCTGTCTTCTCCAAACATACTCCTGTCCACTATTCCTCTTGGCCCCCACCTGCAAGTGGGATTGTGTCGGAGTAGTACTGGGAGTCCTGCGCCAAGGAATGGCTTAAGGGCAATTTTCTCTTCATAGATCAGGACATGACATAGAGGGATGGGCCAGCATGAAATCTGGCCACCACGGGGTTCTCTGTGACAGAAACCTTTCAAAGATTAGACCAGGATGTCAGATAGGTTAACCTCTCATCAACTAGTCATGACTGCTCAGAGCACTGTGATGAGGATTGTTGAGCATGACCAAGTTCAAAGAACATGAGTGCAGTGGTCAACTAGTTATGTCTGCAACTGGCCAAGGATGTGGGAATAGTGGCCCATATGTCATGTACTTGCTAGATACCACCTTAGAAGCCACAGCTATCAGAGCCGGCATGGACCTCTGAGATCAGCCTGCCTAATTCTCCTCCTTGGTCCATTTCACAGAAAAGAAACCTGGGGTCCAGAGAGGTGAAGTGACTTGCTACATAGGAACTCAGATTCCCCGTTTCTTCCCATGCCAGTCTCCTCCAACCTTCTCTGTGGGCTTGAAGTATGCTCACCTCTCAGGAGAGGCTTATCGGCCCAGTTAACCAACTGAGGTATTTTATAATCTTAAGAACATAAACAGAAAATCCAAACCCCATAACTACCAACTGCCAAAGAACAAGGCTTGGCATTAGTAATATATTATATTACTTTGTTTAGTTAAATGAGCCAAGTTCAACTTTTTTTAAGCAGCAGGATCTTTTTTCTCTTCTTTTCTTCCAAATACAAAAACTCCCCAAGGAACTCTGATGTGTGAAAAAGACCAAGTTGGAGCCACTCTGTCTGAAGCTGAAGCAGTACGCTCTTACCCTGCCTGGCCATGTTCCCCCTCACAAATGGCCCCCAAGGCACCTCCCGAACATCCAAGCTGGACATGGCTTTGATATCACTCAAGAACACAAACTTTAAAGTAAAGCCCAATGAGAATGTTTTCCAAGTTGGAAAGGAGCTTGGAGATTGTCTTACCTATCCCCATGCCTTACATCCCCTCCTGCTCCCTGTTACCCCTGCCACCCGAACAACTTCACAGGTGAAGAAAAGGGAAGTCAAGCTGAAGGAGGATGAGGTGGTAGCTGGCCCCAAAAGGGCGACTGCTCCAGATCGCCTCTCTGCATCACTCCAGGTGTGTCCTGAAGCTCTGATGGTGTGTCCACAGGTGTAAGCACACCCAGGACCCCTTGGATCAAGATTGGTGCCAAAGCCTGAACTTGCCTGATATTGACAAGGCAGCTGCCAACTCACCCCCCAAAATGAGCCCCGAGGTGCCCAGCCTGTTGTCCTTTTCAGGTGAACCCACCTCTACCAGTCCTTGCAACTTTGCCTCTTTACCCTAGCTGAGGCAGAAGGAGGGGCCTGGGCTGGGACACTATAGTCTCACCGGTCGTGAAACCCTGGGCAAGTCATTTTGCCTCCTGGGGCACTGCAGGCCTCACCTGGAAAATGGGAATAATGCAGCTCACCCCACCTTCCTTCCAAGGTCCTCAGGGATCTGCGCACTCATGGCCAGGCACAAACTCTGAGTGTAAACAGGCCCCAGCTTGCTCAGTGAGACAAGGCAGCGCTTGGCAGAACAGGCCCAGAAGCAGGCCCTCTCTCCAGCGCTCCTGGTGGTGGCTGCATGCCTCTCTCCCTGGTGACCAGGCTTCTGGCCGCCGGCACCTCTGGGGCATTCTGGCAAAGGGAGCGGTGCAGGTCAGTGGCAAACACCTCACGACAGTGCATAGTTAACAAAACCAAAGAAGCAACACAATAATCCCAGGCACAGGACGTCTGAGCCATAAATACATTGTTGTAAGGATATACTTTTTTTCTTCAATTAGAAATGAGTTTATAATCCTGATTCTATTCACGAGTAACGATTTCATCATCACACACTACAGACGAGAAATGGTATGGTGAACACAGCTGCACGTCTACGAGGGGACGTCGGTCAGGGAGGAAGGGGAGGTGGGTGCCGGACCAAGCATCTGGCGCCCACCCAGGACAACCCGTCGGAAGCGAGGACACTAATGTGGCAGTGGAACATCAACACCATGGAAACTCACAGACAGAAGCAGCTTTGTTCAATGTAAACATTGATTTTTTTTTTTTAAAACGACAGCAGTTCTGAGTTTCTCTCTCTCTCTCACGCGCTCGCTCTCTCGCCTTCTCATATACTTAATTTCTTTGAAAACGTAAACATTTTGGAAGGGCCTTGTCTGAGGTATTGAGGTATTCCTCGAAGGTTAAGGCTGTTATCAGTGCAGGCTCTGCTGGGCCTCCTTCAGTAAGCTGTCAAAATCCATGGCTTCGTACTTGGTTTTCACTGACGCAGGCAGGGCCTCTTCTGAATTAGAATCTGGGCGGGGGTGGAGGAGTCAGTGAGAGGGGAAGGCAATGAGTGATTCAGAAAGCCTGCCGATCAGAAAATCTGCCACCAGGGTCAGCCCCACGGAGCGGAGGTAGCCTGAGGTTTCAAAGAGCAGTGGGCAGTGGCTTGCGTTCCTCCGGGCCACCTCTGCCATATGGGTGGTGTCTTGGGGGCTTGGCTGCCCTGGTTGCAGGCTGGGGATGCCTGAACCAGAGCCCTCCTCCCAGGGCTCCTTTTCCACTCCAGCAGCCTCTAATTCTGCTTCCCTTAATGGTTTCATGCCCTTTAGGAAACCAGTGCAGAAGTCACATGAGGCAGACAACTACGATGTCCTCAGTGAGTGGCTGGGGAACTGAGTCCCCATGGGGGACACAAAGTCAGGAGCACTGCCTGGTCAGGTGCCTCCGGGGTCTCCTGACACTCAGATCTGCACCATGGAGGCTGCAGCAGACAGTGGCCTACCACGAACTCTCTCCCAAATTGTACTTGTCCTTCTTTACCAACTTGTCCCCAGATGGTGAGGGCATGGTGACAATATTGTTTCGCTGTGGCCCAGTAATGGACAAGGCTGCTGTCTGTCAGGGCCACCGTGGATGGCAGGGCCTATGAAGTCAAAGAGACGGCAGCTGTGGTTCTGCCACCTGGCTGCGAACACGAGACTGGACCTTCCAAGAGGCCACAAGAGGCTTCATCTCTTTGGTACCAGTCCTGGCATAGGGCAAGACAGACCAGACGCCAGAAGGAAAACAAGAGGACAGCTTCCAGGCCAAGTGGCTGCCAAGTTATTCCCACCAGCCTGGGGGAGCCTGGTCTTCCCCCGTGGCTCAGGGGTAAAGAATCCTCCCCAGTGCAGGAGACGTGAGTTCAACCCCTGGGTCAGGATGATCCCCTGGAGAAGGAAATGGCAACCCACTCCAGTATTCCTCCTTGGGAAACCTCATGGACAGAGAGCCTGGTGGGCTACACTCCATGGGGTCACAAAGAGTTGGACACGACTCAGCGACTAAACAATGACAGGGGAGCCTGGGCATGGGAGCCATGTCCAGAGGGGACTTTAGGTTTCAATAAAGGAGGTCTCTGCCCCAGATCTTTGGTGAGCGGGATGTGCAGGGCCTGTGTACTCACCGTAGTCAGTGTAGCGGGGCCAGCAGAAGTGCCGGAGCCCCCCATAGCTCAGCTGGAAGGAGGGCTCACTGCGCTTCCTCAGGGCGGCGCCATTCCTCAGGGACAGGGCAGCGTGCTCAGAACACCGGTAGGTGATGAAGCCATACTTCTCGCCTCTGGAAGGAGAGGAAAAGGGGAGCGTGTCACTGGGCCAGGCTGGTGGACACTGTCCGACCACCTGCTACCAGGTGAGGAGCGGGAAAACCATGAGTCATGAGTGACTGCGTCGCATGGCTCCCCGACAGACATGACGATGGTCACTGGGTTGGCAATAAAATACTAAGAAGTGCTGGCCACCACCCGTCGCCTCACAGGCTCTTCAGACACCCTGTGACTGGGGACTGCTGTTATCTGTCCCTCTGGGATGAGGAACAGGCTCTTGAGTTTAGGATCTGCCCAAAGACAGGGGGCAGAGCAGGGACTCAAACCCAGACTTCCTGCCTTGAAACCTGAGGCTTTTCATGCTCCTCTCTATTTCCTTCACAATGCCCATTTTTCAGGATCGGCCACGCCTACGCTCCATCCTACCACTCCCACACCCTTCAAAGTCAGCCTCAGCTGTCGCTTCTTTTTTTTTTTAATTAAATATTCATTTATTTATTTAGGCTGTGATGACTCTTTATTGCAGTGCATGGGATTTCTCTAGTTGTGGAGCTCGGGCTTTTCTTCTTGCAGCACATGGGCTCTAGAGCACACGGGCTCAGTAGTCGTGACATGCGGATTCTCTAGGGTCTCTAGCCATGGCACACAGGCTTAGTTGCCCCATGGCATATGGGATCTTAGTTCCCCGACCAGGGATGGAACTCACATCCTCTGCATTGGAAGGTAGATTCTTAAGCTCAGAACACCGGTAGGTGATGAAGCCATACTTCTCGCCTCTGGAAGGAGAGGAAAAGGGGAGCGTGTCACTGGGCCAGGCTGGTGGACACTGTTCGACCACCTGCTACCAGGTGAGGAGCGGGAAAACCATGAGTCATGAGTCAGTGACTCATGACTGCGTCGCATGGCTCCCCGACAGACATGACGATGGTCACTGGGTTGGCAATAACATACTAAGAAGTGCTGGCCACCACCCGTCGCCTCACAGGCTCTTCAGACACCCTGTGACCGGGGACTGCTGTTATCTGTCCCTCTGGGATGAGGAACAGGCTCTTGAGTTTCGGATTTGCCCAAAGACAGGGGGCAGAGCAGGGACTCAAACCAGACTTCCTGCCTTGAAACCTGAGGCTTTTCATGCTCCTCTCTATTTCCTTCACAATGCCCATTTTTCAGGATCGGCCACACCTACGCTCCATCCTACCACTCCCACACCCTTCAAAGTCAGCCTCAGCTGTCGCTTCTTTTTTTCTTAAATTAAATATTCATTTATTTATTTAGGCTGTGCTGACTATTGCAGTGTGTGGGATTTCTCTAGTTGTGGCGCTCGGGCTTTTCTTCTTGCAGCACATGGGCTCTAGAGCACACAGGCTCAGTAGTCGTGACATGCGGATTCTCTAGGGTCTCTAGCCGTGGCACACAGGCTTAGTTGCCCCATGGCATATGGGATCTTAGTTCCCCGACCAGGGATGGAACTCACATCCTCTGCATTGGAAGGTAGATTCTTAACCAGTGGACCACCAGGGAAGTCCCTCGGCCACCACTTCTTTGGAGGCTAACCTGTCCTTCACCTTCCCTAAGATTGCTGGTATTGCATATACATCTCCTCCTTCATGCCTGCCTATTCAGCATTATCTCCCTGCCCTCTAACAACACCACCCAGTACTCAGCTGGGCTCAGGGCACCAGGGTAAGTAAGGCACAAGACACTGACCCTCCTTGGCCGTAGTGATTTGTTCAAGCATGAACCTGTCACCCAAAACAGAACCCCAAAGATTCCATGCCATATCTTTGCTGGAACTCCTGCTTCCCTGGGTAGGAGATATGCTCACAGCTGGAGGCAACCACTTTGCTAGCATGAGGGAAGCTTGCCTGAGAAGAATGCCAACATGAGGGGGACCTAAAGTCAGATCTACTCTCACCAGTTTCACAATCAAATGAATCCTGATCTATCGGCCTGCTACTCAGACTCCACAAGGACAGTACCATCCTACCACTCAGCACAGCTCTACTGACTTCAAGTGCCTCACAAACATGCAACTGAATTGCATTTCCTGACACCTCTCTGAATCAGGCCAAGGCTGGAACCCTCTGACTCTATATATCTGAGACTCATGAGTAATTTTTAAATCTTAACAAATTGAACCATCTCCTTAGAGATTAAATTTCTTGCTTTGTTTTTAACATGTTACCCTCATGTGATATCCTGAAGACTGCACACAACATAAAACAGTTTGTGTCATGACTTTTTCAAACAAATTATGACAAAAATACACACCATAAAATTTACCATCTTTATTATTTTTCAGTGTATGGTTTAGTTGTGTTAAGAACATGCGTGCATGCTAAGTTGCTTCAGTTGTGTCTGACTCTTTGCAACGCTATGGACTATAGCCTCCCAGGCTCCTCTGTTCATGGGATTTTCCAGGCAAGAATACTGGACTGGGTTGCCTACTCCAGGGGATCTTCCCAACCCAGGGTATCTTCCCAACCCAGGGTTTGAACCCATGTCTCTTACATCTCCTGTACTGGCAGGTGGATTCTTTACCACTAGTGCCACATTGTGTTAACTTACACTGTTGTAAGATGGATCTCTAGAAATGTTTCATCTTGCAAAACTGAAACTGTATACCCATTAAACAACAACCCCCTATACCCTCTTCTCCCAGCCCATGGCCACCACCATTCTACTTTCCATGTCTATGAGTTTAACTCCTTTAGATCCCTCATGTAAGTGGAATCACACAGTATGTGTCTTTTTGTGATTGGCTTATTCCACCCAGTATAATGTCCTCAAGGTTCATCTATGCAGTAGCATGTGACAGGATTGATTCCCATCCTTCTTAAGACTAATATTCCACGGCATGCATACATATCTTGCTTATCCATTCTTGTTGTTGTCAACTCTTGGATATTGTGAATAACAGTGCTATGAACATGTATGTGCAAATATCTCCTCAAGATCTCACTTTCAATTTTTCTGATTATATACCCCAAAGAGGAATTGCTGGGTCAAATGGTCAAATTCTATGTTTAATTTTATGAGGAACCCCCATACTATTCTGCACAGTGGTTGCACCTTTTATTGGCTTGTTTGGGTTTTCCATAACATTAGTTGGAAAAAACCCAAATGAACTTCTTGGCCAACCCACTACATTCTGACCCATAGCGCACAAGGATTCCAGTCTCTCCACATCCTCACTTGTTAGTTTTCTATAGCCATCCTAAGGGATGTGAGATGTGTAATGATTCTTATGTAGAAACTATTTTCTCACTGAAGTTTTTAAAAGTCATCATTAAATTAGAATTTTAAAACCTTAATAACTTAGTTTGCAAGTAATAACAGGAGATACTTCAGAATTATTTCAAATCTGACGAAGTTTTGACATCTAAGTTGTGCATTTATATGCAACCTATTCTTGCAGATCTCCCAAGAGAGAGACACTGCTTCCCGGGTGAGTGCGACACAGGGCTGCAGCTGTAGAGGAATGGAGGGATGGAGTAACGTGGGGTTTGCAGCCAAGAGTGCAATGCAAGCGTGCCTTCAACCACCGTGGGCTTTTGGCAGCCCCATACCAGCTCTAGGATGGAAAACCAGAAGTGGACACATGGGCTGCAGATCTGGCTCTGCCACTAACTAGCTGCTCAGTTAACGTATCTGAGCCACCCAGAAAGGAAAGAATAGAAAGAGTAAGGCTGCATATGTCATACGCAAGTTGGAAAACTGAAGTAAGACAATGCATGAAAGTTGCCTCGCACTTTAGCAGACTATCAGTACATGTTTGCAGTGATTCCTGGGCTGCACAATTGTCACAGGTCCTCCCTTCTCCTGTACCTGATGGTAGGTTTGTCCTGGAAGTCCTCTTGGGCATCTCCAATGTGGTGAGCCCTGAATTGGGACCTCTGCACACCCCTACTGCCCTCCTCTGCGAGAGCCTGACTCACCTCTTGCTTCTCGTGAGCACCTGGCACTCCACAATCTCGCCAAACACTTCAAAGCGCCTCTTCAGTTCACGCGAGCTCATGTCACTGGAGAGATTTCGAATGTACACCACGCGGCCTTCGCCCTGCCGGAGGGCGACACAGAGGGACCTGTCATTCAGGTTGCCCCCTAGATGGCGGGCTCCCACAGAGTCCTTGTCCCCAGTCCATGTCACCTGGCTGAGCAAGCGACTCCAGCTGGGACTGGAGTCAGAGATAGGACCACGACAGTCACTATCCCAGAGGACCTGCCTTATGGGAGGAGGGGACTGTTAAGCATCGGATGGGAGGTGGCCTGAAAGGAAGTGACTGTGTACTTGAAGGGAATGAACAGAGACTGGGCGGAGACAGGAGAGGAAGTCACCACTACTACTGTAACTGCACCCTGAGCAGCTTCTGTATCTGTTTGGAGTCTGACTTCTTCTGGTATTGGGGGAGGTGCTAAGGATGCTAAAGGGTGAGCACTGGCAGCCAGGTTGCTACAGGTCAGAGGGGACAGGGGCATAAGGATGTGAGCCACCATTACCTTTGGTTTTGCCAGGGTACTATGTAGACACTTGTCACCTTTAGGTGCCGGGCCCTTAGACCTGCCCATCAGAGGGGGTGCGTCGGGGAAGCCCGGTTGGGACCTCCCCCGCCTCCCACCACCATCTAGTGACTGGATCCAGTTAAAGGCATGGCCATCGGAAGAGTGGCTTTGATTTGCTGGAGAAACTCCATCTGTGCTCCTGGTGGGCAAGACCACCAGGGTCTGTTCTAGACGGGCTTTCTCTGGAACAGGTTAAGGCCAGCGATCCTCCAGCCATGCCCTCCTGCACCTCAGAGGGCAGTGGTCCAGAGAGGGCACTGCTGCACAGTCTCAGACACCAGGTACGTTCCCCAGAGTGGCCCAGTTCAGCTCCATGTAAGAATGCAACCGCCCTCTGCCCCCTCCCCACCCCCGCCTCCTCCAGCACCTTGAACTCACAGGCCCTTTCCGGCTTCTGTCACCCCCTCCGCTGTCCTCCTGAACCTTTGCTTGGATGGCTTCTTCCATCCCTTGGGGCCTAGCTCTCTGAAGATGCCCTTTCCAGACAACCATGTAAATAAATCCTCCCCACAAGTCAAAACATGATTTGTTTCAGACATCTTAGTCGTGGTGTGATTAATTTCACAGTGCACCTCCCAATCTGTAATTACAGTGTTTATTGCTTTGCTTATGAGTCTGTCGTCTCTCTCTCCCTTCTGGCCCAACCATAGTAGTGGAGACCTTGTTTATCTCATTCGCTGTTGCCATCCAGCACCTAGAACAGGGCCAGGCATGTCACAACTGTTGAATGGTCACACAAGGATCCCAAGAAGATGCTCCATGTGGTTTTAAGTACCTGCTTGCAGACACCTATACACACCTCCGGGGTATGCACACCTCAAGCGTGCCTTGCCCTGAAGCACCACGCTGTTGGGGGCTGTGGTGGGGTGTGGGGGGGATGGAAATCCAGTGAGAGTCTGTCTGTGCTTCTGTCTTACTTTCCCGTCCCTCCTTTCTAATGATATGAGGACACTGACTCCAGCTTCCTAATGACTTTTCCCTGTGTGCTGCTTTGCAACAGGTTTACCAGGCACAGCCTGGGCCTCCGGACTAACTCTGGGGGAGGACTAGAGAGTCGGGCAGGGAGGAAGAGACAGGCTCTCTTGGTCCTTTTGCCCAGATCACACCAGGGGACCCTATATACAGATGAGTAAACTGAGGCTCAAGGCAGTTGGTCAAGGTCACACAGAAGTGGAAGCAGGGCTGGCTCTGCTCCCTCATCAGTGTTCATCCCCTGTGCCCTGTCGAGCTTCTGATACTGAGCCCTAAATCCTCACCAACGGCACACTACCCCACCCCACTCCCAGACCAGTCCATTGGCTGCATTTTGCACATGCCACCTTTGATGCCCTTTGGTGACCCTTGTGCTTTCGTAAATGAGAGAAATACAACTATCTCCTGCAGGCCAGATGACCTCAAAGCACTTCGGGTCTCTGAAGCCCCCACACTTCCTGATGCCCCTGCTTGTCCCCACTCACTCCGGGCTCTGGGGCCCCAAGTCACTTACAATGGCCTTTTCCCGCCGCTTCCTGGCATGCCGGACGCTTGGCGTTCCGTCTGAACACGACCCTCTGCTCTCACATCTGTCAGTGAACAAGCAAAGCAGACTCACTCACTCTTAGCAGGGACCACAGTGGGGCGGGAGGAGGACTTGCTTCAGGAGCGATGGTTCTTCAGCTTTGTTAGGACTTGTTCATCAGTGAAGGTAGAACTAGGAGAGGGAGCCCAGCTCTCCGCCTCAGCGGTCACCACCCAGGGCCTCAGGTGGGTCTGAACATGTGACTGACACATGCCTTCTACGTTGCTAACCATAATCCCTGTGAACCTTTCTATGCTGTTGGGGGTGGAAAGGCCCTTTCACTTCATTATGATATTTGACCTGACGAAAAAATATCCTCTGAGGTCTCATGCTTCCCCATTTTTCAGATGAAAATCTTAAGGCTCAGGTTCAAGATGAAATTTGCCCCAAAGCTAAGAAGTGGGAAAGCTAAAGCTAGTAGGAGGTCTGCTGATTCTAGACCCTCCATTTGTGCTGTCTGGCCAGGCAGCAACCTTGGCCATCACAGCCCCTGTACCCCAAGCAGCCAGTGGGCTACTCAGTTGGAGAAGCTCCTGGGTGCCACATGCCTGCGCCCTCCCAGGCACCTGTCTGCACAATGCCCTCTCTTGCCAATGGTCAGGCAGCTGGAGGGGAAGGAGCACAGCATGTAAGGGGGGTTGAGTGCCGACTCTGCCACACACCGTTTGCATCCCTGGGAACACAGCAGAGAATGAGAGCAGGGGCTCCAGAGTCAGCTAGCATTCCAATGCTGATTCTACTACCTCTCTGCTGGTGACCCGGGACTGGCTACTTAAGCCAGTACTTCATCTGTAAACTAAGGAGAATCAATTGTATTTGCCTCCTCAGCCATTTGGGAGAATCAAATCAGAACATATGTGTACATGCTTAGCTCAGGAATGGCTCAGTACTGGCTGGCTATATTTTTCTATTGAAACTCTTTGAGCCTCAGTTTCCTCATCTATAAAATGGGGATGAAAAGCACTTGAGCTTCCCTCAAGTGCCTCTGTGAAGCTCAAAGAGGGTAATAGAAAGGGATGTGACTTGCAAACTTTAAGTGCTATATAATAAGAGTATCATTATCCACTTGCAGTGGCATTGGAAGTCTTCCCCCATGAAGAGCTCACAGTGACTTGAAGGTGCTGCAGGGCTTGTTAAACCAGCGCAAAGCGTTCCTGTTGATTATGTTTGCTAGCAGAAGCACAAGTAGAGAAATGCTGGTCTGGAGAAGGCTGATGACTAGTTTATCCAACTGACTAGCCATCAAGCTCTGCCAGGCAGCTGAGTAGGAACCAAGTTAACCAATTAACTTTCTCCAGCGAAAGCCAGCCTGAACTTAGCCCAAAAGTAAGAAGGAGGAAAAGGAGAATCCAAGGTGGTTGAGAGAGGCCCCTGACTCTTGTGCCAAGCCCATGGGTAAAGGGCCTGAACAGGTCAGGAGGGGAAGGAAGCCAAGAAGCTCCAGCTCTGGCCTTGGGGAATGTGCTTCGACAGGAGAAGAACCTTAGTAGCTTCTGAACAGACGCTGCAGAAGAAACCAGCTAATGTGAACAACAGGCAGACTAGCTCACAGCGACCCTCTGGGGAAAGAAGAACAGAGCTGGAAGGGAGGTTCGGAGAGGTCTGACAGAAGATGTCTCTGAGTAACTGTTCTGGCTTATTACATAGACAGGCTTTTAGAGAAATGGTTCAAAATGAGTTCATTTTAAATAACAGTTCAGGGCTTTGGCACAATAGTGTCTGGGGGATCCAGAAGTCCCCTAAAATCCAACGCCCAGTGAGTTGCCTGCTACATTTTAACGGAGAAAGGAAGCTTTGTTTTCACCAGATTTTCAATTGAGAGCCACCGGTAGAGATAAGAAAACACAAAGAGGAATTTTTCTAAGGTTATCTTCCTACTACCTGAATTCTGTTTCTCGGATTATGGCACTCTAGCAATGTCGTCGTTACCCCGGAACTTGTTAGAAATGAAATTCTCCACCCCCACCGCCGACCTACAAAACCTGAGGCTCAGGAGGCGGGGCCCAGCCACCAGCTTGGTAAGGAGGCCTCTCCCGGATTCTGCTTGCTGCACTGCTCTGAACCCAGGAGCGCCTTCTGGTGGTCACTCGGGTGCATCTCGGGCAGAGGGTTTGGGACATGCACCCAGGCTCCTACGGCCTCCCCTCCAAAGAGCCAGGGCCTGCTGTCATTGGGGAAGAGAAGCAACCTGTCTTCACCAAAAGATGCCAGACTTCCATTCTTTCTGCCCAGCTCCCCACAGAATTCCGCAACGGCTCCTTCTACAGACCGGTTCAGTGAGCAAAGACGGTATGAGGAAACGCCCATGACACGTCATCCTGGTGCGAAGGAAAAAGAGCTCTCCCACCGGGTGACTGACTCCTGGAAGACTGCACAACTCCGCAGCACCGAGAAACAGGAATAAACCTTATCACTGCTTTAAATCCGGGTTTTGGGGGGTTTTTTAGGACACAAATTAGAATTATGCTAATCTTTGTTTTACAAGTAAATTCACATAAGTATTACACTGTGTACATGTGTTGACCCTTGAACAACACAGGTCTGAACTCTGAGAGTCCACCAACACTGGGGTTTTTTTCAGTAGTAAATACCACACTGTCAGAAGTTGCTGAATCTGAAGATACAGAGTTATCTCAGATGAGGAGGGCCGACTATAAGTTACACACAATTTTTGACTGTGTGGAGGAATGCTGTCCCTAACCCTCACCTTATTCAAAGGTCAACTGTATATATTTACACAAAAACCTACCCATTTTACAAATATAAAAACAGAAACAGATGAATAAGGTCACAAAAAGCCATAAAGTGTGTTTTCTTCCTCCCTGGAGGCCAGGAGATCTGGACCACTCCTCACTGGACCACTGGACCACACAGCAGGCTTCACCTGGCTTCAGGACTTGCCCATAACTCCTCCAGGAGTCCACCTCCAGGGCCTCTGACCAGGACACAGGCCACACAGGAAGCTGCGGCCCTGGTCTCAGGGCTCCTCTCTCCCCTGACACCTCAGAACTGGGGGTGCTCAGCTAACCACCATCCATCCTGAGGCAACCCACCCATCCATACCTGAAGGTTCTCCGTGTGGCTGGTGACCGGGAGCGGCAGGATGAGGAGCCAGAGCTGGAGCGGCTGCGGGAACAGAGCCGCCGACTGGCCTTGCTGGGTGGGCTCTGGTAGGGGCAGTGGTCAGAGCGAGGGGGGCTGACCCCTGAGTCCTCTTCATCGTCATCCTCCTCCTCGTCTTCCTCCTCCAGGAGGAAGGTGCTCTCACCACTGCTGCTGCTGCTGTCCTCAAAGACTGTGTCATACTCGGGGCTCTTGCAGGAGGCCAGGTCTTCATCCTCCAAGGCTGTCTCTAGGAGCCCAAAGTGCTTGGTGAGGCTGGCACGGATCTCGTGGTCTCTCAGCATTGTGCTGTCCTTGGTGGGGGCATCAACATTACAGCTTCCATCTCCCTCCCTGCCAGAGGCCTGGGCCTCAGCCTGTGGGGCCCCTTGCTGGGGCCAGTCCTTCAGGTGGGCCCCAGATGGCTCCCAGGACCTCAGCACCTTCCTCTGCAGGGCGCCGTCTGGCTTGAGCACCTGGCAGTAGTCATGGTCGCCGAAGGAACAGGAGAAGGGGCGCTTCTGACCAGCCTGGGAGGCTGGCTGGGCTGGGGTATGCCGCAGGTGGGACAGGAGCTCGCTCCGCTCTGGGTGCTTCTTTGGCAGCTTGTGGGCAGCCTCGGTGGTGGCCCCAAGCTGGGGACCCTCCGAGGTGGGAGCTCTGTCTTTGCCTGGGCTGTGCTTGATGTCTGGCTTGAAGGGGTCTTCCTCTGCGGGCTTGTAGGGAGGCGTGGTGGGCGGAGTGAGTCCTACCCAAGCAAGAGGAACACCGTGAGACAGATCATTTCTCCAAGGAGCACTGAAACCCTCATTTGAGATGGCAGAGAAATAGCATGCATGTCACCACTCCCCAGAGCCAGTGGAGAGCAGGCATTGCTAATCGATCACTGCGCTGCTGACTGAGCCTGGACGTAGCCTGGGACTCCATCTCATACAGTCCGTCAGCAGCTTTTCAGAGCTGGCATGTGATGAAATCCATTTGCCATCCCTTCTGTAGCCTTGCAGACGCCTCCAAGTTGTCTGAGATCTCTCTTCCTGCTCCACATTCCATCATTCCACAAGCCCTCCCAACTGGTCATCCCAAATACCTCTGAAGTCTCCCAGGGTACAGAGGTGGCAGGCACCACAGGCAAAAACCTCCCATCTGGATTTGACCACCACAGTGACCTTAGGTGGTCCTGCAACTGACCTTAGCCTTCACCCTCCCCCAGGTACCAGAGGGAACTTGCCAAAATGCCAGCGATCTCTTCCTTTCTGAGGCTCCTGGAGCCTTGAGGATCTACATGAAACCCTTCAGCCTGACATTCCTCTCAGCCTTTGATGTTTGCTCTTGCCTGACCCCCCAGTTCTCCCCACAGCACTGCCATGTGGCCGGTCTCCCCCAATGCACCTGTACTTCCACTTCTCTGTGCCTTTTGCTCATGACGATTCTGCTGCCAGGAATACCCTTCTCTTTTGTTTTTGTCTCCTCAACTTCTACTGCCCTGCAAACGTAGCTGAAATGCCTGCTGCTCTGGGTACCCGTGCATCTTCTCAGGCCACATCCTGCCCCTCCCCATACTGTCCCTTCCTCTATGCTCCCAGAGCTCTTGCAAGGTCTTTGGAACAAGCACATGTCAAACAGTACTTGTCATGATGTGAGTCTGTTTCCCACATAGGACTGCAGGCTGCTTCAGGGGAAGACATGCATCTCTCTTTTTTTTTTTACATCAGGTCATGTGCCAACTGTCAGCAGCCGAACAGCGGAGCCTGGGTCCTGACTCTCCTTATAACTCTCTCAATGGGAATCTCCAGATCCAGCGTAGCCTGGGCGGTGGTGGCAAGGAGGGCTTGTTCGGGTACCCCCTTACTGCCTGAAGTGCTTCCTCCCCAAGGGCACCTCCCCACTGAGCCCCTAGCTTACCTGCTGTGCCACAGAGCTCCACCGTCAAGGTCTGCTCGAAGGTCTTCTTGCCAAAAGGAGGGTCACCGGTGGGGCTGGAGGACAGGAAGAAAAGACGCCAGTTAGGAGCAGATTCCACCTCCCCGAGCATGCCAGGAGGGCAAGGGGACACCGTGACAGATCCTGCTTCTGCGGCCCATGAAAGTGAGGCCTGGGGAGAATTTGCAGGAGAATCCCCATCCTGGCTGTTAGGGAAATTCAGAGCTATACAGCTTTTAGGAGACGTGGGAGAGATCTGAGGGAGGTGGAGACAGGACAATCATTGTCAACCTCCTTATTTTACAATGAAACAGCTGAGCCCCAGAGAGGAGAAGACACTTGCCCAAAGCCACACAGCAATGTCAGCTTTTCCCCATGAAATTCTCCATCTCTTAGGCCTACAGAGACCAGCTTCTAAAAACCAAACTGCCTACCAAGGAAACCCAGCTCCTGAGAACCCTACATGGTAAAGAGGGCAGGGGTGTGGGGACAGGATCAGGCTCAGTGGCCAATGAGTCACCCTACACCCAACCAGATAAGCTCTCATGGAGTAATAAGCCAACAATTTCCAGAAATCTACCTTTGCGACAAGGCCAGCATGAGGCACCTGGGAGAGTCTGAAAAGAAGACAAAACAGAAAAATAAGATTTTTCAACATGGCATTGCTAGAGAGGATGTTTCCCTCTGAACTGCATTGGTACCAAGCACAGCTTCTTTCAGGCATGTGACCCAAAAGCCTCTTCCATTTTTAGGGACGAGTAGGAACAGCTCAAAACCTTCATTCCCCCAGACTCAGCAACATTTACAGCTGGCGGAGCTACGGCTTTTGCAGCGTTGACGGGTACTAGGGCGACCCCTTATGCCCAATCAGTATAGCGCGTGTGGTGAAGCATTCCCACTTCCAAGGCCAGCATCTGTGGGCTCAGCCCCAAGGAGATGTAGGACTGACTAGTTGACTAACCATTAGACACCTATGTGCCTTTGTTTCCATGTCTTAAAACAGGAATTAACAACAGCACCCACCACATAGGTTTCCTATGAGGATCAATGGGGACAATCTGTATTAAGTCATAGACCAAGCCTGGCAGAGCAAGTGTAAAATAGATGACTGCTGTATTATTATCCCCACTTGTGTTACCATTTAAAATTCAACCTCACTGTGGAGCTGAATTTAGAGACTCACACCGTCCATCACATTGTTACCCAGGAAGTCTTCTTTAGAGGACTTATCACAATTTGTAATTACTTTCCTTTCTTGCTCACTTTATGATTGCCCATCTCCCCCACTGACACACAAGCCCCAAGAATGTAGGCATCTTGCTCCTTGTTCATTAAGGACGCCTGGCCCATGCATGATGAGAAACTCAGAGATGCTCAGGTGATTCCTGAAGGTCTTCCCAGCTAAGCCCATTACACAGGAAGGGAAGTTGAGAGCCAGAGAGGGAGAGGGGTTTGCCCAACCTGGGGCTCCTGGCTCCAGTGCAGTGGGGTCAGCCACACCTCAGCCCCGCCCCCTCTCTCGGACCACCGACTCCGACTACCTCTGGAAGAGAGCCTCGGGCAACTGGGGTCCTCGTCCGTGTCCCCACACCCGCTCTCACAGGGGCTCTCCAGAGCTGGGATCTGGGGTCCCCGCAGGAGCGGCTGGTCTTGGCCACTGTCCTCATCCGTGGGGCTGTCAGGCTCCCCCTCCACATCATAGGCTTCGGGGGCCAAGCGCAAGGGCAGAGGCCCCTGGGGATCTGCAGGGACCATGGGCTCATCCGTGAACGTCAGCCAGGGGCCGAGCTCAGGGTTCAGTCTCCTGGAACGCCGCACGGGGCACACGGAGCTCTCTGGCTTCCTCCCCAGCTTGGTCCACGGCAGGCCGCGCCCTGACCTTTTCCGGCCCCATTCCTCCTCGTCCTCTTCCTCTTTTTCTTCTTCCTCCTCCTCTTCCTCCTCTTCCTCCTCCGGCTGCAGCCTGGCCGACCGGCTGACATGCCCTTTCACCTGCAGTCGCAGCGGGCGCAGGCTGGGTCTGGGCCCCGAACTCTTGGGTGAAGGTGAGACCCTCACCTCTTCCACGGGGCCCGGGTGGCCGGCGGAGGCCTGGCTGTCCTTGGGCCGGGGCCGGGGCGTGAGGGAGGCGTAGACAGGTGTGGCCAGACGGTAGGGTTTGCTGACATCGCAGAGGACATCTTGAGCCAGAAGTTCCCTCAGGATGGAGAACTCGGTCCAGGTGGCTTTGGAAGGGTGCTGGGACCGAGGCCGGGGTCTGACCTGCTTGGCGGGGCTGCTACTGGGCTGTGGAGCTGGCTCTGGGGCCTGTGTGGGCAGCTTCCTCTGTGGGAGGCAGTAGGTGTGCATGTAGCGGATGAGCTGCACCATGGCCTGCATGTCCTCCTGGGAAACCTGGGCGCTGGGGTCTGTCCTGCCCAGCACTGTTGAGTCCCCGGGGGAGGCTGAAGCCAGCTGGGGGCTTGGGCAGTCCTCGCCCGCCTCCTCATCCTCCTTGATGGGGAGCCAGGGACTCAGGGATGGTGGTGCCTGCAGGCCTCTATCCGGGGAGAGGGCTTTAGCCCGAGGGCAGGCCGGTGCCGAGGTGAGGTGCTTGTGTAGCTCCGTGCAGCTCCGGCTCTGAGAGTGTGGAGTGGGGCCCTTCCTGTCTTGGGGGCCATCCATCTGGAGAGGGGAAAGAGGCCAGAGTGAGGAGGAAGACCCGCACGGCTTCTCCCCGCTGCCCACACCTGCACCACTGGCCAGGCCCAGGCTGTCTCTCCAGGATGATCACGCTGGGTTTCATTGCTCCATCCCCGGCTTCCAGCACAGAACCGCACTTGGCAGCACTCAGGGGATGAGGATGAAGGAACGGCCAGCCTCCTAACAGGGACCCCAGCTATGGACCCCGCCCTTTCCAGGTTTACTGCCAAAGCCCTGTTCTGACTACCTTGCTCCCCTCTCGGAGCCCTCAGTGACAGCGCCAAGAAGTACATTAGTGGCTGCCTGGGGCTGGGCGTGGGAACAGGGACTGACTGTAAATAGAGACACTGGGGATCGTCCTGGGAGGATGGAAATGTTCTAAAACTGGATCGTGGTCATGGCTGCACAACTCTGTAAGTTTATTAAAAATCACTGAATCATACTTTTAAAACAGGTGCCTTTTATGGTATGTAAGTGGCACCTTCATAAAGCTCTTTAAAAGAAAAAGAAAAATTCAGTAGCTTTCCAGTGCCCGTGTAGTAAAGGGGAAGCCCCTGGTGGGGTGCTCTGCAATGTGGCCCCAGCCAACAGCCCTCCCCACACCCTCCCTCACTCGTCCACACACGGGCTCCACCCCCAGAGCAACCATCTCTCTGCTGAGGCCAGGCCGGCTGTCCTGCTGTCTCTCATGCCCCATCCCCCGGCAATGCTTCCGAACCTTCCAGAGGGCAGGCTGGCTCACAGAGGGGCTTAGCTGCTGCCTCTGTGACAAAATGGAACAGGAGGGATGGCCCTCTCTTTTGGGAGGTCAGCCAGGACAAGGAGGGAGGGGACACAGGGAGAGGGCCCACCCTCCTCCCCCACCTCCGGGCAGACCAGGAGGGGACAGGCCCCCGCAGCAGGCCACTATCTGAGAAAGATGCTATCCTGAGTCTGCCTGGAGGGGTGGCACTGTCTGCAGCAGTCCGTGCCAACGGTGTCTGGGAACAAGAGGAAGGGCCGCATGCAGGCTCTGAGTAACAGAACACTGGGAAGTCACCTTGGAAACCCCTCCTTGAAAGTCTCAGAAGATGGAGCCCAAGAAGGGAAAGGGACTTGCTTCCCTCTGGGTGTTCACAATGGCGATTTCAGCTCTCTGAATTTCTCCACCCCCAGGAGAAATTCAAACTCCTCCTTGTGGTCCCCACGGTACCAACAAGGATATTATGCTGGGTTCTGTCACCTCATTAGAATAAGCTTCCTGAGGGCAGGCCACAGCCTCCTTGTCCCCACTCTAACTCAACATCTAAGACTGCCTGGAACACTGAGAGAGAGTTGGCTTTTTTAAAAAATATTTATTTATTTGGCTGCACTGGGTTGTAGTTGAGGCAGGTGGGATCTAGTTCCTTGACCAGATTGAATCTGGGCCCCCTGCATTGGGAGCATGGACTCTTAGCCATTGGATCACCAGAGAAGTCCCTACAGTTGACTCTTGAGCCAGACAAGGTTCCACACAGTGGAAAATTCACATGTGACTGATAGTCAGTTCTCAGTACCCACCGTTGCTCTGCATCTATGGATTCAATGAACTCAGATCCTGCAGTACTGTAGTATTTACTACTGACAAAAATCCACGTAGAAGTGGCCCTGTGCAGTTCAGACCCATGTAGTTCAAGATCAACTGTACATGAAAAAGTCCAGGGCTCTTTCTCAAACCCCAGACCAGCCTAGGTTTCAAGTAGTGTCCAGGACATCAGCAACAAGGGTTGTGTGAGGAGCAAAGAGTGAACTGTGAGTGTATTGAACTTGATGGCCTCTAACAAGAGTGGAAGGGTGCACCCGCTGCCTAGAGACCCTCTTGGAGGAGTCCTGGGTGGGTCTGGGGGCATGTGTAGACATACCTTGACACAAGGCCGCGGATTTCTGGACCTGAGGCCTGCCTGGCGCCATGTGGTCCCTTCCTTCTGGCTATCGGAGGTCGAGGCTGGGTAGGACGTGGCGAGAAGGAGTTTCTGCAGCTGTGGGAGGAGCAGATGGGAGAAGACAGAGCTGAGCTACAGCCAGAGACGCAGGGAAACACATCTTGGGGAGAAGCCCAGCCTGGAGCCAACCCCCCCCGCCGCCCCCGGAGTGACCACACTCTGACCCCGTCATCACGGGAGCATGGAAGAAGACAGGGCACTGAATGACCTGGAATACATTAAGTACAGAAAGCAGGTTGTGTAGCAATGCCAGACACAAGTATCCCAGTAAAAAGTAAAGTCCTCTTCAGAATGAATAACCCAAGAGAAATATCTATGATCTTCAGAAACCAAAACAGATCTTGGGTGATGTCTACCCACGCTACCATTGAAATGTGATGCACACACTTGATTCGGACATTCTACATACACTTGTGGTTACACACACAGGCACACACATACACAGTGTGGATGGTGAGGCCCCACAATGTTCCTTTGGTGTAGGATTTTAGCTGATTTTCCTTTCTTCTTTTTGTTTAATCATATTGTTTAGGAAATTGATTCTTTACCTTAAGCGAATAATACTTGGAAATGGTGGAAAATACACATACCACAAATACTAACGGGTAAACAACTGGAAGATAGTCTCCCTCCTGTCCAAGGTCCCAGAGGCAACTGCTATTAACCACCTTCTTGTGACCCTTTCCTGAGGTGGGACTCAAAAATATATACACACACAATGCAAGAATGTATATATGTACACATCACCTCCAACCAAGCCAGCTGTTTTTACACAAGTGAAAGCATACTAAGCTGATGCTTGTCTGGCTTTTCTAATTTTTCTATAAAAGTTGATAAGCTTTTCACACTTCTACACCCAGAGGAAAGGTGGTCAGTGTATTCCAGCCAACAAAGCAGGGAGGTGAGCGCACCTGGGGGTTTCGCCGGGGATCCTACCACAGCCGAAGTTGAGAACAAGTCAGGAAGCATGAGCGGTTTTTGTTATAGCACTGAGTGTTTCCTCAGGAGACATGACCCCCAGGTCACCCCAATGGGATGGCCAAGGGCCCGGGAACCAAAGAAAAGGCCACTCCCACTGCCCTAGGAGCTGGAGGAGCCACACAACCCTACCAAGACCCCAAACCAGCATGTGCATGTCTGTGATCCTCTGACATGGACACGAAAAGATGGTCATACCAGAGCAAGGGACCTGGTTTAACCCAACTCACTGTGAGACCTTGGGTGAATCCTTCCCTTTTCCCGGCCTTGCTTTCTCCAAGGTTGTAAGTGTGTATGGATGTGTGTGTGCATGTGTGTGTGTAAAACAGGAGCAGGCAGACTAAATAATTGGGTCTTTTTTGATTCAGGGGTCCCTGTAAGAATACGAGAGAAGCTGCTAGCCTCAGAAAACACACACGTATGCAGAGGTCCATGGGTTCTGCAGGTGGACTCTCTGGGACCCATGACTCCAGGTTAAGAATCTGTACAAATTCTCAGGGCCTTTCTAGAACTATGTTGGAATGTGGGGAGTCTAGATGGCAAGTCTAAGAAACAGAAGTACAGTCTAAGGCACGAGAGGGAACAACCAACCGGTGACCAGCAGGGGTCTCTCTCTACCTCTCTACTCGGGTGTGGTCCCTCTGCAGAGTCCTATACAGAATTCCTCTCCTTACTGCTATTCCTACTGGGCTTCCCAGGTGGTGCAGTAGGAAAGAATCCACCTGGCACGCAGAAGACGCAAGAGATGTAGGTTTGATCTCTGAGTCGCGATGATCCCCTGGAGAAGGAAGTGGCAACCCACTCCAGCATTCTTGCCTGGAAAATTCCATGGAAGAAGGTGCCTGGTGGGCTATATAGTCCATGGAGTCACAAAGAGTCGGACGTGACCGAGCGACTAACCACACACGTGCTCACACGCACAAAGTATTCCTACTACTGATACTGGGCTTCCCTGGTGGCTCAGCTGGTAAAGAACCCACCTGAAGTGCAGGAGACCTGGGTTCGATCCCTGGGTTGGGACGATCCCCTGGAGAAGGGAACGGTTACCCACTCCAGTGTTCTGGCCTGGAGAATTCCATGGACTGTATAGTCCACGGGGTAGAAAAGAGTCGGCCATGACCAAGTGACTTTCACTTTCACTTTTTCACTACTAATACTACTACTAACACCATGGCCAACTGTTGTGACTATCACTTAGATAGCGTTTATTGAGCCATTTCTTTGTACCTGGCACTGTTCTAAGTGCTTTACACGTCCGTATTATCTGCTGTACTCCTCCCAACTGCCTTTGAGATAAGCACTGCTATTAACCCCACCTTACAGACCAGGAAGCTGAGTCAGAGAGAGGCACAAGAGCATTCACTGGTGAGGCTGAGATTCAAACCCAAGAGGTCTGATTCTAATCAGAAAGGACATCGACCCTCATCAGCAGGAGCCATCACCTGGGACTGAACACACTTTTGAGTCTGGCATGCATAGGTGCTTGTTAAATGTTCCACACTGCTTTGGGGAACATGAAGTCAGCAGGAGAGAGGGAAAATGGTCCTGGACTAGGAGTCAGAAGACTTTGCTGGCAAGTCAACTTGTATGATCCTGGGAGAGGCCCTTCCCTCACTGAGCCTCAGTTTCCCCAGAGGTGTACTTTATGATTACCAAGGGCCTATTTAGCTCTAACTCTCCATGACTGAAGATCCCTGCCACCTCTAACAGGCCCTGACTTTTCAGCTAAGTCTCACCAGCCCTAGGAGTGCCACTGATGAGGTAAGAAGCCTCAGACAGATGAGCTGGACTTCACAAGCCAGTACATCTGGGGTTCTGGCACCTTTAGCCTGCGACAAGAGCAACTGCTTTCGGCAACTTCTGAAATCCCTTTGGAATCTGAAAAGGCTGAGACCTTCTCCCCAGAAACCTGCAACACCATGCGTACATTTCCACATTCCACATTGAATCAGGTAGCATTTAACTTTTGCTGGTCAGAGTATGAACCGGTCCAACCTCTTTGGAGGGCAGGCTGGAAGTACTTGTCTAAACTGAAAAACCACATACATTAAGACCCAGGAATTCCTTTTCTAGGAATGGATCCACTTCCTCCTGGTGAAGGACACAGTCTAAGGCAATGGAACAATAAAGGAGTTGAAACAATGCACATATCCACCAACCAGAGGATTAGTTAAAAGAAGTTATGGTACCTTCTTATAGGGAACACTATGCAGCTGACAAAAAGGATAAAACAGAGCTACCTCTGCTCATCTGAAAGAGTTTCCATGCCACACAATTCACTGAGAAAAGCAAGGTTTAGGCTGTGTAACGGAGGCTCTTTTTTGTCGTTAAAAAAAAAAGTAGAAGAGAAAAGTCACACAACAGATCAGTAACCATGGTTACATCCAGGGAAAGAAAAAGCCATTATGAGACGGGTAAGGAGGTTTTGCTTTTAACTCTCCATACTTCCTGCTTGAATTTTTCACTGTGTATATATGTGTGAAAATGAAAGTGAAAGTCGTTCAGTCATGTCCAACTCTTTACAACCCCATGGACTGTAGCCCACCAGGCTCCTCTGTCCATGGGGATTCTCCAGGCAAGAATACTGGAGTGGATTGCCATTCCCTTCCCTTCTCCAGGGGATCTTCTCGACCTAGGGATCGAACCGAGGCCTCCCATATTGCAGGCAGATTCTTTACTGTTGGAGCCAACAAGGGTGTGTGGAAAATATTTGCATTTAATTTCAAGGTTTAACACACACTTAGGGTAAATCCATGAAATCCCAAAGTGCCTACAGAGTTGCAGGTTAAGCCCAGGGAGGCTGCCCACCACCAGTCCAGGCTGTGTGCCCTGAACCCTTGCCAGTGATGCACAGAGATTCCTGCAGGGGTTGGAGCTGGTTTCCCTGCATCCACCACCCTTACAACCACACACCACATCTCAGGCCACCACCATCACTTCAGTTGGAAGCAGATTCTTACCAGCGAGAGCTCATCCACCTCAGGGGCCGAGGCAGGGGGCCCCTCCAGAGAGGGGCTGGGGGGTGCAGAGGAGGGGACAGGTGATGCAGAAGCACAGGAGGGTGTGTCTCCATCCTCCAGGGCTGGCAAGGCAGCCAGACTCACAACATCCTCAGGGATGTCATCCAGGGTTTTGGTGAGCGCTGCCAGGAGGGCCTCATTCTCATTGTCGATTATCTGCAGTGAACAGAGAGACAGAGAGGGGACATGGTTAGCCAATGCCTTGGGCTCAGTGACTTTGGGTAGAAATCTGCTCTGTACCTGCAGCTGTACCACCACCATCATCACCCTCCCGCCACACCTGCTCAGATCTTCCCAGTTTCCTAGGAAAGCAGATGCTCAAGAAATCTGCTATGGACTCCAAGAATCAGAGATTTTCAAGCAGGCAGCAGGTGGTAACAGAAAGGGCCTTGGCTTGGGGTCACATGCTAATCAGGGGATGCCCATCCCTTTCTCCAAGGACAGTCACTTTATACCACAGCCTCCTGTGTCCAAACTCCTGGACAGAGTACTGAGGCTGGTCTATGCCACTGGCAGCCCCAGGTCAGCCTCTCTGACCCTGGGGCCCAGACAGCTGGTAGAAAGACTGGAAGCTTCAAGGTTCAACCGTGACAGTGATGAGCAGAGCAACAGGACAAGAGCTACCATGCCCCTGTCGGTTCCCAGGGCCTGCAGCCTCATTCACTCATGGACGGGCAGGGCAGTTACTGTGGTGGCTAGGAGCTTGGGATCTGGAGCTGGGGTGGATCCCAGATCTCACATTTACCAACTGTAACAACAGAACCTACTTCATAAGGTTATTGTCAAGGACTGAGTTAATATATGTAAAATGCTAGGAAAACAGTGCCTGGCATATAACAAGCACTAATTACTACTACTACCATCACCTCCACTGCTACTACCACTACTACGACTCCTGCTATAATGATGATGATGGTGATAATGAAGGTGGTGACGATAGTGGTCTGGGGTAATGGTGATGATGATGGCTGTGGTGGTGGGCAATTCCTTCCCTCCCCTTCCCCCTCTTCCTTCTCCTAACACATATGTACCACTACTCTGTGCTTGGCGATGATTGGAGACTGGTGATACAGACGAGTAGCTCATGGAGTTTACCCTCCAGTAGAGAAAAGAGTTAAACAAGGAAACAAAACTAGATCATTTCAGAGAGTGAGAAAGCTTGGGAAAAAAATAAAAGGAAGCTGTGATGCAGAATAAGAATGCGGTAAAGATTTATAGGCTATTTACAGCAGTCAAAGAAGGCTGCTCTGAGCAGCTAATACTGAAACTTAGGCTTGAAAGATGAGAGGGTACCAGCCAGGCAAACAGCTGAGGAAAGATGATTCCAGGCAGAGTGAAAACCCAGTGCCAAGGCCAGGGACAAAGGGTTTGGCTGATGAAAGAAATAGAAAGGCTTTGTAAATACTGCCTCAGGTAAACCCCACAATAACTCTTGTGGGGGTGGGGTTGTTGTTCAGTCGCTCAGTCATGTCCAACTCTTCGTGACCCCATGGACTGCAGCACGCCAGGCTTCCCTGTCCTTCAGCATCTCCCAGAGCTTGCTCAAACTCATGTCCATTGAGTCAGCGACACCATCCAATCATCTCATCCTCTGTCACCCCCTTCTCCTCCAGCCTTCAATCTTTCCCAGCATCACGGTCTTTTCTAAGGAGTCGACTCTTTGCATCATGTGGCCAAAGTATTGGAGCTTCAGCTTCAGCATCCATCCTTCCAGTGAATATTCAGGATTGATTTCCTTTAGGATGGACTGGTTTGATCTCCTTGCAGTCCAAGAGACTCTCAAGAGTCTTCTCCAACACCACAGTTCAAAAGCATCAAGTCTTTGGTGTTCAGCCTTCTTTATGGTCCAATTCACACATCCATACATGACTACTGGAAAAACCACAGCTTTGACTACGGACCTTTGTCAGCAAAAAGTCTACTGTCATGTTAGATGGTGACTGCAGCCATGAAATTAAAAGATGCTTGCTCCTTGGAAGAAAAGCTATGACAAACCTAGAAGGGGGGTGGGGTACTATTCTAATTGCCATTTTGCATTTGAGGAAACTGAGGCTTATGGAGGTTGACCAACATGCCCTGGGTACATTTCATTCATTCACACAGCAAATCCAGGGCAGAGGCAGGGCTGACACAGAGCATAGCACACACAGATGAACTGACCAGCTTCCTTCCCTGATGTCTCAGATCTCTGACACGAGGGTTAGCATGCACACTCCCAGCCCACCAGCCCTGCGCGGAGATCACCCTGCTTCCAGGTGAGGCACTGAGCGTCCCAATCAATAAAGCCCAGCTACTGGGCTTGTTCTGGCAGGAGGCCTGTCTGTCACATGATGTCTTAACCAGCGCTCTTTCCCATCCCAGGTCAGGCTGTTTATCCTTTCTTCAGGAAGTTCATCTGAAATACACATCCCGTGACGGCCTTTTGGCTGCACTAAATCTGTTCCAGGCCTTGCAGCCAGTGAAGCAGTTGAGTAATTCAAAGGGGGACATGGGAAAAGAGAACAAATGTGGTTGTGACTTTGCAAGACAGCCAAGAATAAAAGAAAGGTCAAAGGAAGGTTTCAGTTTAGCCTGACCAGGGCCCCCAGGATGGGGGTCCAAGGGCAGGTCCAGGAACTCCGGTTCAGGAATGCAACAGGGCTCAAGTGGCAGCCCAAATCCCCATCCACAGGCCGGACCCCCAAACCTGTGTTTCCTGAGCAATAATGTCCAGCCTGATGGGGAGTTAAGATCTTGGACCTGGGGCTCAAGGACCACTCTTGGGGTTGACTGAGGGGCACTCTACCACTGACAGGGTGACCTTGGGCAAGTCATTTCCCATTTCTAAGCCTTGCAGCTTTGGGGGAAGACCTGATCCCCAGTCAGTTTCCCTCCAAGGGTTACTAGGGAGGCTGGTCTGGAGGCAGCCACACAAGGGCTCTGTGAATTGTTCCTCGCCTAGCTCAGTGCCTGGGGCGTGGGAGGCTCCAGGCAGATTTGATGAATGGAAGAATGAGTGAACCAAACAATGAACTCTGACCACTGGGGAGATTAGAGTCTCAAAGTACCCATTCCAGAGGGAAGTTATTCAGAAATCATTCAGTGTCATCAGCACTGGAAAGAAGGAGGGGTCCTGCTTTCACAGCCAGAGGAAAAAGGCCCAGAGATATTCTGAATTATCACAAGTATCAAGAGCTGGAAGGGCCCGTGGGGGTCACACAGAGACCAGGGAAGTCAAACATGCAGCTTGCATGCCCTCATGCCCCCACCCAAAGTTCCATCCACGCCCTTTCTTAACACAACCCTCCAGGCAACAATGTGGATCATCTGGGTTGGAATTCAACGGGAAGCCTATTTGCCATTCTTTTTTGTGGTGGGGGGAATGAAGGTCCAGGAGAGACTTGTCAATATTGCACAGCAAGTTGGGAGCAGGTAGGGAGGATGATCAAGGACTTACTAGGTACTCAGCATGGTGCTGAAATGAATACCAGATGGTAGAGACCCCCAAGGAGCCCCAGCAGGTTAGGCAAAAACAAAATGACTAACAGAAGGCCTTCTCGCTCTGTCCTCAGCCCTCCTTTAGCAGGTCCAGTTCGCAACAGCCAGGCAGGGTCAGGGGTCCTGACTCTGACTGGGAAGAGAGTCCAGCCCTGCCCTCGGCATGGTCCCACCAGCACCCCAGGATAATATATCACAGGGAGCCACACCGCCCCTCTCCTCTTTCCAGGCCCATTAGCTCAGCTCTCCCAGCTCTGCTTAGAAACGGAGTGCAAATTAATGGAGAGTTAATCAGCTGAGGAAGGGATATTAATAGGCTTGGCCCCACCCCCAATCTTCCTGAGCGCTCTGAGGCTGGAGAAAAAGGAACCTTCAAGAAACCAGAGGGAGAACCTTCATTCTGAGCACCTAGAGGGGCTTGAGGGAATGACAAAAGAACAGAGTTCAGGCTCCCAGGGGCAGAAGAACACTCAGAGATTGTCCCCCATTCACTGGGGTGCAGGAAACCCAGGAAGTCAGTTTCCCTTCCTTTTTTCTGGGGGTAGGTCCACAGATGTCACAGGAGTCTAAAAAGGACCCAGTGGTGCTCTCCCTACAACAGATTAAGGACCGCTGATCTAATCCGTGCTCATTCCTCATTTCTCACCCAGGGAAACTGAGGCCCAACAGGGAAGAGCTACTAGCCCAAGGCCACACAGCACATGGTGACAGAACCAAACGCCTGCCTCCTCCAAAAATATTTACTAAGTTTAGCCTACTGTGGCCCTGGCCCCAGTACTCTGGGCACACAAACAGAAGGTACTGTCCCTGCCTCCGGGGGCAGTTGTCAGCTCTTGTAAGGATAGCTGTTCTCCACTCTCTGTTTCCATAGCAATGGTGCCACCTGACTTGTGAGAACATGGCTCTGACACAAGGCAGCATGGCTATACGACTGCCGCTGGTCAAATGAGGATTCTGTCCCAGTCAGTGGCAGGGCATATTAGAACCTCTGGGCTCTGAATTCCAGCTCAAGGACTTCAGAATGGGTCATGCCTGGTCCTTGGCAGGAAAGAAAACATTGCAATCAGTTTCTTCATTCAACACCTATGACCGAGTCTTTTCAATTCAATGTGCAAGGGCCTCACAGAAGAACAAAATACTGCTTGTCCTCAAGGAGCTTGAATTCTGAAGGTCACATGCATGCACAGGACGGGAGCCCAGAGAGGAAGTGACTGACCACCTGCCTGAGGAAGAGCTAACATGAGAGCTGGGTGTTGAAGGATGTATTCATATAAATATTTTTTTTAAGCCCAAAGAAAGTGCCGGTCTCTGTGCACAGCCTGGGACCATGACAATTTACAGTGTTGTATCAGCCCCCAAGCTCCAGGGGTGGGGAGGGGGCCAGGGAGGAATCAGGCACTGATCATCTAATCACCCTCACAGAGGGGCACTGGGGTGTGATGGGTGGCACAGGTTATGGAATGCAGGGGAGAGAGGCAGGGTACGCAGAGTTCCACCACAGTCCTGACCATCTCTGGAGATTCTTCTGCCTTCCTTGCTGTGCAGAGCCCAAGGGCCACGCCAGGCTGACTTGTGTCTGAGGCCATTTCATGCACATAGTAGGCTCCTGGCAGGAGCTTACTACTGGGTCTGGCCGGTCTCTGAGTAGGCGGGGCCTGTACAGTTTAGGTGGGGATGGTCTTTAAGTTGCTAAATTGCTGAGTGAAAGTCGCTTAGTTGTGTCCAACTCTTTGCGACACCATGGACTATAACAGTCCATGGAATTCTCTAGGCCAGAACACTGGAGTGGGTGGCCTTTCCCTCCTCTAGGGGATCTTCCCAACCCAGGGATCCAACCCAGGTCTCTCACATTGCAGGTGGATTCTTTACCAGCTGAGCCACAAGGGAAGCCCAAGAACACTGGAGTGAGTAGCCTACCCCTTCTCCAGCGGATCTTCCCGACTCAGGGATCAAACCAAGGTCTCCTGCATTGTAGGTGGATTCTTTACCAACTGAGCTATCAGGGATGGTCTTTAGGCAGCATCCAAATCCCTCTCGCTCATCAGTTCTCCATAACCTGAAAGTGTTCCCCGGAAGGTGGCCCCACTCTGAGGGAGGGAATAGCAGAGAGCAGTTTACCCCATTGTTGTGAGAAAGAATGGAGGCTGCAGAAGGAGCCAGAACCAGAGCCCAGTCCTGCTGATCCTCATACAACAGTGAGGGGGCTGGGTTCCTACATTAGAGTAAACACACTGACCCTTCCTAACTGTGTGGCCTTGGGCAAGTTACTTAACCTCTCTAAGCATCACTTTTCTCATCTGTAAAATGGGTTACTGATAGTTTTTTTTACTGATAGGTTAGAATAATCTTGGGGAAAATCCAACTCCTTCCCTGGTGGCTCAGACAGTAAAGAATTTGCTTGCAATGCAGGAGTCCCAGATTCTATCCCTGGGTCAGGAAGTTCGCATGGAGAAGGGCATGGCAACCCACTCCAGTATTCTTGCCTGGATAATTCAATGGACGGAGGAGCCTGGTGGGTTACAGACAATGGGGTTGCAAAGAGTCAGACATAGCTGAGCGGCTATCACTTTCACTAATATGACCCAGAAGAGCATGCATAATCTGGCCCCTGACTAGCCCATCCCCACCCCCCATTTCCTGACACCTTCCCTTTAGCTACTGCCCTCCAGCCCTTCGGTTCCCCAACACAGCAAGTTTTTCTGCTTCCTAGCTCTGGGATCATCATGAGGCTCCTTTGTCCTCCTTCAGCTGAAGCATCTCCTCTTAGAAAGAACTTTCCTGACCACCCAGTTTCTTCAGATGCTCCTCATCCCAGGTTAATTCTTATTGTGCCCGTGTCACTAGTGACCACTGTTTGTCTATGTATTACCTGATCTAAGGTCAGTCTTCCCTCTAGACCGTAGAGTCCACTGTTGAATGCAGTGTCTGACACACATAGGGAGCTCCATAAACATTTCTAGAAGGAATGATACAATTTGTCAGGAGAACTATTTGAGAGGATGCTCATGGCATACTGACTTGGCACATGGTATGTTATTGTTATTGCTATTATTATTATTATATTGTCAGATAGGCACAGGGAGATATGCATTCTTCCTCCAATGTTTATAGAGGAGCATATTCAAGGGAAGAATAATAACTCCAAATGTACTCATTACCCAGCTTCAACAAGGCCAATTTTATTTCACCTATTACTCTCCATGCTACACACCCACACATGCAAATGCATGCAGGGATTCCTTTATTCTGAAGCAAATCCCAGACATCACATTATCCCACATTAGAGCCCTTCTTAAAGGAAACATGCCTCCAAGACTGGGGCTCACAGGGGAAGAGGCATAGATATGAACTGCAGGTCCTGGCATTACTTCTTCTTAAAGACCCTCTGTGGGAGGGGGGGAGGGAGGCTCAAGAAGGAGAGAATACACACACACACACACACACACACAGATATATATATATATATATATACATATATAATTATGACTGATTTGCATTGTCGTATGGCAGAAATCAATACAACACAGTAAAGCAATTATCCTCCAATTTAAAAAATTGTTTTAAATAAAAATAAAGAAAAAAACAAATAAATACAGAACCTCTAGGCACCAATGGAAATATGGAGATAAATACACTCCTGTATGAGAGTTGTTAATAAAATTAAGTGAGTGAATATACACACACAGGGACAGTCCTGCCACAGAGAATGGGAGTCAGTCCCATTATGGCATCAGCATGATTATAAAGCTCTGGCTTAGGAGGCAGGCAAACTTTGTTTCAATCTAGTTCAGCTACTGACAGGGTAAATCGCCCTAGGCATGTAGCTAAACTTCTCCAAGCCTCAGTTTCCTCATCTGTAAAATTGGGAGATAATCTCACTTGCTTCACAGGGTGGGAAAGAGAGTTCAGTGCGATCACTCAAGGAAGGGAGGAACTCGCTCTGGCTCACAGAGAGACTCAGTTCTGACTAGGGGCAAGGAGAAAGTAGCTCTTCCCAATCCCCACTTCCCAGAGGCAATAATACTGCCTCTGAGAGGACAAGAGCTGCCCAAGACCAAGTGCAGACCCAGGACGACAGACAGGGTCCCAATAGCCGGAGTGGATGAAGAGACTTCTTTGCATGAGCAAATGGAAAAGGTGACTCAGGGCAGAGCCAGGCTTTCAGGGGCAGAGAGAGGCACAGTATGGCAGACGGTGGTGAAGTTCGGAGGGCATACCTGGAAGAGCTCCGAGTCATCAGGGCTATACTCGCTGGGGTCGGTTTCAGAGTTCTCTGGGCACCACTGCAGCTCCTCAAAGCAGGTGGCTGAATCAAAGTCGCTGGCATCCAGCTGGGAGAGGTCGAGCTCCGGAAAGTCAGTGCAGAGTTGTTCCTCCCCAGATCCCCCACCCTGAGGAGACAGGTAGAAAGGAGGTGGGTCAGAGCTGAGCCTGGCTAGACCAAAGAAGGGACCCTCCTACTTAGGATGCTGCCAGTCTGAACCCTTGGCTGCCTTTGTCTAGGGCCTGATTTTGCCAAGTGACCAAGAAATGGAAAGATCTACCTCATCCTCTTGCAACTGTTGAAGCTACCAGGAGGTAGGTCAGGCTCTAGCATTACAAATGCCCCTGCCTGCTATACCTTCCCTTCTCCTCCACACTCCTTTACATCCCTCAAAGCCCTGCCCACAGAGGACCTCTTATCTCTTCCCAGAAATATTTGGTTGAAAACTCGATTACAACCTGTAAATAGAGATCTACTCCTTTCTATAACTGTTCCCATTTGAAAGGGGATTTCTAGAAGGCAACAATCCTTCTATATGAATAATGAAACAACAAAAAGCAAGAACTGACATCACTGAGTGATTGCTGCATTCTAGAAAAACACTCACCCAGGTTCCCAGAAATAATTGTCTTGTTTAAAAAGGTAGAAGATCACCCATCAGCAGACAATAGATAAGTAAAACTATAACCATCTATATCATGGGATATTACAGTGCTGTTGAAAAGAATGAGGGCATTATGTATGTTCTCCATATCATGTTAAATCTAAACTGCAGAACATCAGCAGGTAAAATACTATCCCACATGTGTAAAAAGAATGAGACAGACTCAAGCCACACACTGTTCATGATAATATATATGAGAACACAGCACCAATACATAGGAGGTCTAGAAGGCCATAAGTGCTGGGTCGGGTAGAAGAAAGTCAGGAAGGACCTGGTAACAGCACCGACTAAACCGGTGCTTCTCAGAGTGTGGTCCCAGGATCAGCAGGGGCAGAACCACCTGGGAACCTGATGGAAACAATGCAGATTCTCAGCCTAACCCAGACGACAGACTCAGAAAGTGATCACTTTCTCACCCTGGTCTTGCAGGTTTAACAGTTACCAAGGGACTTCCCCACAGATCCAGTGGTTAGACTCCAAGCTTCCAATGCAAGGAATTAAGATCCTGCATGCCACTGGGAGCAACCAAGAAATTTTTAAAAAAAAGTTATCAATAGATGGGTGCCTTGCAGATTCAGAAACAGCCTGAGTTGGGGGAGGCTGACACAGAAACAGGATACCATAGACACTGGGGTCCCAGCATCTATGAATCACAATCCCCATGCACCAGCTGTGATGCCTTGGGCAAGACCCTTAACCTCTTTGAGGCTCAACTATCTCATCTGTAAAATGGGACAATAACACCTGTCTCATACAGTTAATATTAAATGAGGCAATGTTATAACTTGGCTTGGTAAGTGCTCAATAAATGGCAGCAAGCAGGAATGGTGACAAATTTAAACATAATATAAAACAGCAGAGTTTCATGGCAGGCAGAGATGGGTGGAACCTCCTTCAAGAACAGAAAGAGGCCTGCGTGACACTGAAGAGAAATAGGTTTTATCCAGGCCTTTTCCTTAATTGTTACCACTTACTAGGCCTCATAAATTATGAATAAATGTATATTATTAGCTCAACTTGACACAGGAAAAAGGCTTTTATCCGAATTTGGGTCAAATGTCTTAATTGGCATTTTGCAAGAATCCTGTACACCCAGGCAGCAGCAAGGCCAGTTCTCGCAAGCGGCCAGTCCCTGCTTTCAGGCCAGGTAGCACGTGTCCAGAGAGTGCAACTCCAGGGACACTCCCATCCATGCCTGCCCTCTATCTGCCCGGTCTTCATCCAAGCCACATGTGTTCAACACTCCTGGGAATTAAGCCCTGTCACTTGGTGAGGATTCTCAGCCGTCTCCTGGGGCTGCCTCCTCCCCTACTGAGTTGGCTCATGGGGGTACAGCGTTCTTGCCTGTTCTAAACGGATGTTTGGTTTGTTTTCAGTTTTGGGCTGTGATGAACAAGCCTACAGTACTTGTGTACAAGTCTTTGCATGATAAAGACTCATACATCATACAATTGTCTCTCTCTTGGGTGAGTATCTAGGAGTGGAATTGCTCGCTCATATGGTAAATGTCTGTGCATGCATGCTCAGTGTGTATGACTCTTTGCAACCCTATGGACTACAGCCCGCCAGGCTCCTCATCCATGAAATTCTCCAGGCAAGAGCACTGGAGTGGGCTGCTATTCCCTTCTCCAAAGCATCAGTGTGCCTTGATAAAACCTGCCTGAGAAATTGCTCTCCAATGTGGTTGGGGCATTGCACACTCCCATAGGCGGTATGGAAGTTCCCATCGTTCCATGCCCTCACTAGCACTTGGTTTTGTCAGTATTTAAATGAGCCAAGCATGGTAGCAGGGGCCTGCAAACATTATATTAAATGCTACTATAAGGTGGGCCCTGTGATGTATAAGACTCAGTGCTTTCCTTCATGATTTGCCATCTCAGTGGGAAAAGAAAACACAAACATATTTCATTACAGGTTGTGTTAGTGCCACAACGGAAACAGACCAGCTGCACTGATGGAGGACAAGAGGTGGAGGGGGATCTACTCAGATGGGGTTGACCAAAGGCTTCCTGGAGAAGCCAACGTCTGGTTTGAGACGTGAAGGAGGAGCCAGGCAGTTGAAGATGTGGAGAAGGTTTCAGGCGGAGATCCAGGTGGGGACCAAGCCTAGAGTGGCGGGCACTGACCACAGGCCAGTGAGGCTGCAGCTCAGCCCTGGAGTAGCGGGAGGGAGAGGATGCCTTCAGAGAGGCCGTGGAGGCCCGCTCAGGTAGGGATTGGATGGATTTGGGCCTTATGCCAAGTGCGATGACGGTGGTTAAGAACCCACCTGCCAATGCAGGTGACATGAGAGATGTGGGGATTTGATCCCAGGGTTGGGAAGACATCTTGGAGGAGGACATGGTAACCCACTCCAGTATTCTTGCCTGGAGAATCCCCATGGATAGAGGAGCCTGGTGGGCTACAGTCCATAGGGCTGCAAAGAGTCAGATATAACTGAGGCAACTTAGCACACAAGCATGCACATGGTGGGGGTGGGGCCAGTGTGGAAGCAAGTAGATGGGCTAGGCTGACTAGTATCCAGTAGAGGGTCTGCAAAGCAGGACGAAAGGCCAAAAGCAGAGACACAAAGATGCTGGGCAACTGGCACCTCACTGGCCAGCAAAGCCCCCACCTATAAGCTCTCTGGGGAGCTCTTTCTTTATATATTCCAGAATCAGCCCATCCTAGTAACTCAGAGCAGCCACCTCTGTAATCTTATAAACAGCTACCTCTTGAATCTTATAAACAACTTTTAAATCAGAGTTCCAGAATTCCAGCCCAGCAAGGAACCAGCTGCCCCAAGAGGCTGAACATGCAGGTCATTGTGGACAAGTCAGGAGACCCCTTCCAGAACCAGATATGGTATGTGTGCACAATGCATGTGTGTGCAAGGAATTCAGACTTAACCTCTAGGCCTTCGTAGACACAGCTAAGAACTTCTGACTCGCCTTCACTTGGCACATATGGAAACTGAGGTCCAAGGAGGATAATGGATTAGCTCAGGGTCATCCAATGAGTATCCTTCCTATGAAAGCCATGCCACTGCCTTTATAAAATGCCATCAAGTGGCCATGACCACTGCACTTATTGATTTACAGAGAAGCTCGACACACTCAAAGTGTACCTAGGACATAAAAATAAAGAAACCTCAGTTTCGCGGCCTTGTCGATTAGGGCTGAGGCCACTCTCTAGCTAAAAACCATTAAGTGTTGCATTAATAGTGACTTCTCTGGCCCTCTCCATATGTAGAGAGGCTTTTGGAGGGGTGCCTTAGGTCAACTAAAGGGCCTCTAAAGCGGCTGGCTCCTGTAGGCCCCACTCACAGAATGGTGGGAGGCAGGGGCGTCAGAGCACAGGTGAAGCCACTGAGTGCTATCTATACACCGTGGATCAGGCCAAGAACTTCATCTGCATTCTCTCATTGGATTCCTCTAACAGCACTGCAGGGCAGGTGTCACTGTCCCCTTGTTACCACTAACCAGGAAACTCGCAGATCCCATCACTTGTATTGGTCTGCCAGGGCTGCCGTAAGAGAGCACCACAAACTGCGTGGCTCAAACAACAGAAATATTTTGCCTCCGTGTTCTGGAGGCTGGAAACCTGAGATCAACATGCTGGCAGGATTGGGGCTTTCCGAGGCCTCTCTTGTTGGTGAGTGGATGGCGTCTTCTCCCTGTGTCTCTCCCCATCATCTTCCTCCTACTCATGCCAGGCTCTGTGTCCAAACTTCCCTAGATTAGGCCCACCCTGATGACCTCATTTTAACTCAATAACCTCTGTACTAGAGACCCTATCTCCAAATAAGGCCGTATTTTTAGGTACTGGGGATTAGGAGACCAACATATCTTCGCATGGAGGATGCAGTTCAACCAATAGCACCCAGGGTCCCAGAAATGTAAAACTGAGATTCGAACCCCGGGTCTCCTGGCTCCCTACACAGCCTGTGCCATTGTCTGACACCCTGCTTCCGAAGGTGAGAAGGAACTTTTAAAATCATTCCCTCCCATTTATGGGCTTTCCTGGTGGCACAGTGGTAAAGAATTCTCCTACCAATGCAGGAGCCACAGGAGACACAGGTTTGATCCCTGGCTCGGAAAGATCCCCTGCAGGAGGAAATGGCAATCCACTCCAGTACTCTTGCCTGGAGAATCCCATGGACAGGGGATTCTGGAGTCTGGCAGACTACAGTCCTTGGGGTTGCAAAGAGTCGGACACAACTTAGTGACTGAGCATACATGCAGGCATTCCCATTTATGGGTGGGGAGACAGAGCTTTGGGAAAAGTCTGAGAAAGATGCAAGTCACAGGGTTAGTTTGTAGCTGAGCAAGGACAGGCCTGGGGCCACACGTGCTGTGTTGTGCGCTGGCCCCAGGCACACAGCCCCCCCGTGGTCCCCACCACAAGTCTGCTTATACCACTGTGGCAGGAACACCTCTGGCTGCTGCATCATCTGTACCCATTCCTCCAGCAACATCACACCC